TGTACAATGCCATGACGCTGGTAGTATCGTGTTTTCTTGATGCTTTATTATGAATGTTCCACCGGGTTTGATGGTTTTCTCATTGATCTGATGTTTAAAATTGTCCAATGATGATCAAACTAAATACTTTCGTTCTTCTGATGTGCCATCTGATGGCTCGGTGCCGAAGCAATTTGGAGACCTGAACTGCGGATATATTTGATCATATTGTTCATCCCCCAGAACTGGATTTTGTGCTTTTTATGCTTGATTACTGAACAAAAGTTTTATGTTTGTTGCTTCACAACTGGAAGAATGGCCTGTTGTTAACAGTTTGGTCATCCTGTAGAGAGAAGCATAGATGAACGAAATCACCAGCCAGCATTAAACAACACGGTGCTTTATCAAACTGCGTCGTGTTACCTGTCTTCTGGCACATTTTGTAACATTAGAAAATGTCCAAATTTCCGGTGATGTTTTATTTCCGAGCTTCTTATAGTTTGGGTGGATATGCTATGTCTAAACATTGGCTTCCAACATTTAGATGGAAGTGAGGATCCTTTCCCCAGCTGATCGACTATGATTATATTGTGCGCAAATGTAATCCTTTATCAGAGGATTCCAAGCCATAAATCTGATCCATCTCACCGAACATTCTCTAGCCCTCTTTTTCTGTTGTATTTTTCCTTTGTTTATCTGTTCTGATTTGTAAACTTAATGGTAGTGAGGATTCCCTGAATGATGGATTACACTATGCGCAACTGTAATCCCATAGGATCCATCTTTGTTTATGTTTGCCACCCTGTTTTTTTTCGTTTATCGGAAATTGAATATTGAATGGATGTGAGGATCCTTTCCCCAAATGATCGACTATGATTATACTGTGCGCACATGTAATCCTCATTAGAGGGTTCCAAGCCAGAAATCTGATCCATAAATTTCTGCTTACATAGTCCTATTTGTGTATTTTGCTTTTGTGTTATTTTGTGCAATATGTTTTGAGGGTTAGTCGTTCAACATCTGATTTTACTTAGAATGGAGATGTTTCTAGCAAATGAGGACTCTTCTGCTTATTCTCACACACTTGATGTTTCAAAATTCCGCTTTTTAAAATTGAAGCTCAGCCTGTCAGAAATCCATAGCCCACTGAATCTTAGTAGTGACTAGTGACTCTTCCTCTTGTGTGATGTTTTTTGATGGGCTGGTCAAATGGTGCTAAAACAAGATATTCCTGGGATTTTCTTTGAGGAATACAAAATCGAGCTTTTTAAAACTGATGGTTGGCCTGTGAGCCTGTCTAATGTTTTCTTTCTTCTATACACTTGTCCCTTCTAGTAGCCAATGCTAGAGATGTATTCTAAGTTTAGTCCTCGTGGTTATTCTGATTCATATGACGTTTTGAAATCGAGCTTTTTATAATAGATGAACCGACCAGTATCAAACTTTATTTACCTTGCAGTATTGGCTGCTGATATATGTTGATACGTGCTCAGCTGAAGATCTTCCTCCCCAAGCTGACACTGCTGCCTCGTCTTCCCCAGCACTGAAAGAGGTTCAGTTGAAGGTTCTTGCCTTCTGTTAGCTATTGCAGCAGATTTGTGAGTTGTAGAGAAATTGAGGCACCGTCATTTACCATAGGTTTTAACTTGTAAGTTCATATCCCCCCTGCAGAGTGTTAAAAAACATGTAAATTTAAATACTAGTTTTGAATTCAGTTTGTTCAGTGAAAGATCAATGTATTTCGTGTGCATTGGCCATCTTGCAATGCTGGCATTTTGCTGTGGGATCTTTGTCTGGTGATTGATCAGGGTACAACACTTAGATTATCATGTTGTTGTGCAGAGGAAACAGAGTAAAGAAAATCCAAGTTTTGCATGGTTTGATGTTGCTTCAAATTTGGGCTGGTACAAATCTTTCCTCACAGAGAAACAAAGAGCATTCATGCATGCATCTTACTCCACCCCAAATCCCAAAGCGACGCACGTTTAGTCAGGGCAACCTTGCTGAGAATGCTTTCCAGGATAGACTCAGGATCTGCCGTGTCTTCTAATTTCTCTGTTTCTCTCTGGATATTGGGTGAATCTGCATGTCAAGCAAAGATTACAGATTGATAGTAAATGGATCAAATTTGTGATTAAATGTGTCAAACACCTAGATCTACTAGATTGTTACAAATCATTCTGCACAGAGAAACAATTCATGCATGCATCTTGCTACACCCCAAATCCCGTCAGATATTACACTTCTGCTGGGTTTGGAACAACTCTCAGGTGTACACTTCTGTAACTGCGTACCGCTCCCAACTCATTGGTTCTGTCGCCCTCTTCAGATTTGACAAGCCTAGGTCGAGCTTGGCGGTGCGTGGAATTCCCCAAAATGACGCCTGCAACCTCTGTGACCAATGCCCTCGCGCTATCTCTGTCTGGCTACTTGTTGCAGATTGGTCTGATAATCCAGCTGCACCTACCACTCACGCACAAGAGGCTATCTCTATCAGAGAGTGGTGGAATGAGATGAACGCACTTGCATCATGGACAGAAAGGTTGTTGCTGCACAAATCTACGCCTACGCAGCCAACTCTAGCCGATCCCTTAAAAATAGAGAAGGAAAACAGACAGAGTAAACTTTAATGAACTATATTTACTCCGCTAAATTTTGTCGGTTCTAGCCGATCTCCTATATTTAACAGAGTAAAAATCAAATTTAAAATATAAATGAACAAAGATTCGATAAACCGCCGAAGCATAGTCTAATTTGACACATAATTTACATCTTAAACCACCGAAGCATAGTCTCAAACCTCAATCTTCGGACTTGTAGAGGGCGAGCTACTCCACCCGCGAAATCCCACCACCCACGGGGTCCAGCCCTGTGCCATCGTCGCCATAGTCAGGGAAGATCCTCGTCGGCGCCGCCGTCCTCCTTGCCGCTTGAGACGTCGATGACCACCCCCCCTCCCCCCTCCGTTGCGCGTTCCCTGAAGATCTTGTGCTCCACCTCCACGAGCTCGGGTACTGGCGGCGAAGGTCCGCCATGTACTCCTCGTTGACGGCTCTGCCGTGATCCGCTCCCTCGCCTCCCGGTCCTCCCTATCCAGCAACGCACTCACTAGCCCTGGCGGCGGCCCCTTGCCCCATGAGAACTTGAGTCGAGGACGCGCCAGCGGTTCGCTCGTGGCGGCGCGGATCCGCGCTGCGGATGGGTGTCGGGGACCGGCGGCCATGAGATCCGGCCATTGGGGAGGAGGGGGGCGAGGTTGTTGCCGACAACAGGGATGAGGGAGGAGGAGAGGCAGATGAGGGTGGTGGTATTTACTCCGTCCATTAGCGGTGGAGTTAATATAGACGCCGGATAAGTGGTGGAGAAAAAAATTATCCTTTATGGGTTTTAGGGGTTCGGCTAGGTCCTGATTAGAGGAGTAAAATCAGATTGTTACTCCTCTAACCGGTTATAAGGGATCGGCTAGAGTTTGTCTAAGAAGAGTAAATCGATGTCATGCATGCGTGCAATAAATTAGGAAGAGTTAATTTAGGAGATCAAATGCAATTGCTGTCACTTGAATTTGGGCCGTTGGATTTGGTGACAGACCATAGAAGCCAAATGGACTCTTCGATACGATTAAATGCATTAGATCGTTGGGCAGTGGTTTCTTGTGTACACTAAATTTAATGGCTTAATAGAATTACAACTGGCGCTTTTATAAGCAACAATAAGTATAAATGTAAATGTAAATAAATAATACAGAAATATACTAACAGCCGTGAGATTGAAATTGGATGGCTGATACTGGGGGGATGACAGCCGTGAGATTGAACTTGGATGGCTGATATCGCTGCTACCAACGTGAGTGCCGTAATCGCCAAGGAAGACAACCGCCACCGGTCTCAACATATATATAGGGATAGGGCATAGTACTCCCTCCGGTCCTTTTTACTTTGCATATAAGAATTGTCTGAAGTCAAACTTTATAAAGTTTGACCATATTTATATGAAAATATATTAACATCTACAATGCTAAATTTATACAACATGAAAACTAAAGTCATGACGTATCTAATATTGTTGATCTCACATTCTAAATATTATTTTTTTTTTATAAACTTGGTCAAAGTTTACGAGGCTTGACTTCAGACAAATCTTATATGCAAACTAAAAAGGACCGGAGGGAGTACATAGCAACGCAGGTCCGCAGGCAGGGAAGCAACATACGGAGTAGCACACAACTTGTTCAGGATCGTCTTCTCCAACTCCGGCGGCGGCGGGTACGTATCTCTTCCTACTTACCCCGCTCCTCTCCTTGTACTCACATTCACATATGCATATGCTCTCCGATAGACTAGCTGGTATTCTGGGCGTGCACACCGAGTTGGACTTCGAGTGAATCTGATGATATTCAGTTTGGGTTTAGAAAAAGAACCGAATCACTTTCATGGTGATTAATCTGATGGACATGTGGTAATCTATTGTGTTTTGCTTTGTTATGACATTTTTACTCCCCGTAGCGAGTGCTCCAAATCATTCAGTTTCTTGCAAACTTTGCAGGGATGAAGAAATCAGTGTGTTCAAATTTGTTTTTTTTTACGAAAAACAATCAGTGTGTTCAAATTTGTTTTTTTTTACGAAAAACAATCAGTGTGTTCAAATTTGTTTTTTTTTACGAAAAACAATCAGTGTGTTCATTTATTTATTTCGGGTTTTTTTTGCGAAAACAATCAGTGTGCTCATTGAGTATCCGTAATTAATCCCAGATTCGTAACTTGAAAAATCAAATCTCAATCGATGAAAAAGAAATCAGTGTGCTCATTGATCACGTGTATCCATAATTAATTCCGGATTCGCAATCTAAAAAGTCAAAATCTCAATTGATGATGAAGAAATAAGTGTGTCCATTGATCATGCATTCATGCATGTGTATCCAGAATAAATTCCAACCTCTCAACTGATTGATGCCTGCAGGTGGTTGAAGGCAGCCCCCCTTCTCAACCGAATCGTGTGCTCTCCATCAAACAAGGCCTCTCAAGATGTTCATCGTAGAAGATAAGGGCAGTGCCATTGCTCTCATGTGCGCCGCCCTCCTCTTCTTGGGCACATGGCCAGCATTGCTCACCCTCTTGGAGCGCAGGGGCCGGCTACCACAACACACGTACCTTGATTACTCGATCACGAACCTCCTCGCCGCAGTCCTCATCGCGCTCACCTTGGGCCAGCTTGGGGAGAGCAAGCAAGACATGCCCAATTTCTTCACCCAGCTCAGTCAGGTTAGCTTAGCTGTCTATAAATAATCATTCATTTATTTATTTATGCAACAACTTCCTGATGATACAGATAATTTTTCATTCGGTTTGCTGACTCTGAATGTTTTTTTATGAAGGATAACTGGCCTTCGGTGCTGTTTGCAATGGCAGGGGGCCTTGTGCTCAGTATTGGGAACCTTTCTACACAATATGCTTGGGCATATGTGGGTCTCTCAGTTACTGAGGTTATCTGCGCAAGCATGGTTGTTGTAATAGGTAAGTTTGTGAACAGACTTGAAGATATGAGTACAGCTGGTATCTGAAAAAGAACATTTACGGTTAACTAAACCGATGCACCAATTTATCTGCGCAATTATCCTGTATCCTCAAAGAATTCCGCTCATTTTTAACGCGTGTTGTATTTTCAGGCACAACACTGAATTATTTCCTGGACAACCGCATCAACAGGGCAGATATTCTTTTCACTGGAGTGGCTTGCTTCCTTGTTGCAGTCATCCTTGGGACTGCTGTACACGCTTCCAATTCCAATGCAGCTGATAATGAAGAGAAACTAAGTGAATCCAAAAATGGCTACAACCTTGGGTAACATCTCACTTTCTTGCACATTTTTTCCGTCAGACCGAGTCAAATTATATCAGCTACATGCATTAGGCGTCAATCTTTGGTAAACCATTTTACGTCTTTATGGTTGCTTCTCTGACCATTATTATAATGTCTAATTCAACAGGACAAATGGAGGTATGGAGCCAAGCAAACAAGGTATACATGATGCACTAGAGGTGGACATAGAGAATGGAGCTTGTGCAGAAGAGGTCACCAGAGCTGAAGCAGGAACTGCAGAGTACCTGATTGAGCTCGAAGGCCGGCGTTCGGTTAAGGTAAAATCGTACTAATTCTGTCACAAATCATTTTATTTCAGAGAGCAAAAAAAATCAGATAGTATTGGATGGATTTTTGCAACACCAATGAAGTGAAGTGAAGTGATCTAATCAAACTTGTTCATCATTTTCCAGGTGTTTGGATCGAGCACCCTCAAGGGGCTTGGGCTAGTTTTCTTTGCCGGGGTGTGCCTCTCGCTCTTCTCCCCAGCACTCAACCTCGCCACCAATGACCAGTGGCACACCCTGAAAGACGGCGTCCCGCATCTGGTTGTGTACACCGCCTTCTTCTACTTCTTCATGTCGTGTTTTGTCATCGGTGTCGGGCTCTCAACATCTTGTTCCTCTACCGCCCGATGGCCGGCGTGCCAAAGTCATCCTTCAAGGCCTATCTGAGTGACTGGGAAGGCAGGCAGTGGGCTCTCCTCGCCGGCTTGCTTTGTGGCTTCGGCAATGGCTTCCAGTTCATGGGTGGTCAGGCTGCTGGTTATGCTGCTGCTGATGCTGTTGAGGTTTGTTTGTTCAATCAATGTCTACTCCTTTCTTATATGCACATGCTCGCATCCAGCATCGTAAAAAAAGCATGTTTACATTCTGTATATGATTCAAGATGTTAAAACTATTATCTAAGAATACTATCCTGTGGTAGATAATAGTTTTAACTTTTAAATAAGATGCTAGCAACTTACAAGAAGGATATTCAGAGAGAAGAGGGCACTATGAATATGAATCTAACTGTTTCTGCATTGCTGTTCAACATCAGGCATTGCCACTTGTGAGCACATTCTGGGGCATCGTGCTGTTCGGGGAGTACCGCAAGTCGTCGAAGAAAACGTACACTCTCCTCGTGTTGATGCTGCTCATGTTCGTCGCGGCTGTAGCAACGCTCATGGCTTCAGCAGGTCGCAGGGCCACAAAGTGATCATTCTGGGGCATCTTGCTATTCTGGATCATGGAATAGCGAAAGTTCGCTCTGCTCGTCGAGTTCATGCTGCTAATGTTGGCCGCCGGCTGTGGGCCTGTGGTCAAAGCCGGACAAAGTGATCGGCTGTCCCATACTTTCATCTCTTCTTCTAGTTTGGGACTCCTCCTGCCACAAGGCATAGGAATGATTGAATGAAGTAAGAATGGAAGGCAAGTGACATTGATCCAACTGGGAAGCAGGCCATGCCATGACAAAGTAGATTTTATTCCTGATGTTTTGGTCTGAATGGAGTCGTTAGATGTAGCCGTACATAATCTGAAACAAGAGATCTTGTGGTTGAAAGAGAGTTTGTAGGAATTTCGGAGGATCGGAATCATAGAAAATACTTTCTGGAATCCATTTTGTATTGCAAAATTCCAATGAGTCCAACTTGATGGAAACTCTTGTATCAAATGTTTTGTCTTTTCAGTTATTATATAAGATTTTGTCCTCTTCACATCAAGCAAGATGAAATCATTTTGAGTGAAAAAAAATTCTCCAGGGAAAATGGTTGTGATTGAAAGTCTTGTTAATAAGGGTAATGCAATGAAATATACTCCCTCCGTCCAAAATTTTTTATCTTAGATTTGTCTAGATATGGATGTATCTAATACTAAAACGTGACTTGATACATCCATATTCAGACAAATCTAAGACAGGAATTTTTGGGACGGAGGGAGTGGTTTATTTGCAGCAAATACAAATGCTCAGAAAAATACGCCTCCATCATCTAGCGATAATGTTGTGTAGAAAACCCTAATCTAACTTTACCTATTTCACGGGGGCCCCTATGTCGTTGAACTTTTGTCTTAACCAGACCAATCAACCTGTGGTTGCACCTACATGCTCTAGTTTTATTATGAGTGCTTCCAATTTGTCACAACACCCTTTAGTCTTCTATTGAATTATGATTGGGCGCCCACACCACAAGGTGCACCCTAGCTAGTACACATGTTGCTCATATGCTATCACCAAGCATCTTTGTCTACCTCGGACCCAATTTTAGCCAAATTAAGGGGGGATTTGCATAAGATGTTTGAAGAAATTTCGAAAACAAGCTAAAAGTAAGGAGCCATGTGTAAAAAAGCTTCATGTTGAACGCTTCAATGCAGTTTTGTACCTTCAAGGTTATGAAGTTTCTGATTTTACTGAATTTAGTGGTAATGGTATGAAAATAACTTGGAAACACATTAGTCAAGCACAGTTGGGTGCAACAGGTTTCATTAATGAATAGAAAGTACATTTATTTTCTATATCTTTAACTAGCATCACATTTTCATGGTTTGCTGTTTACCCATGGCTCTATTTACCTATGGTCGCAACTACAAGAAAAAAATTCATGATCACCTTTATAGTGACGCTAATGCGCTTAAATTGTCACATCTTACATCAATTAATCGGAATACATGATGAATCGGTCACCGATCACAAAACAACTTCCGTTTGGTTATTAATTCAAAATGTTTGGTTATTAACTTAAACTCTTTGATCAATCTTTGGCTGGCAAAGCGAAAGCTTGGGTATTAATTTAATATGTAGGTATATACCTTTCATGCTTGGAAAAAAGTTATCTAGGCTATCTAGTGTAGAAATCCTACGGAGCCACATGTATGATATGTGAGACAAAAACTAGGTGAAGTCTTATCAAAGCCTACAAAGGTACCATACTTTATGTTTTACTAGATAATTATCCTCAACATAATTTACTACCTTGGTTTGAATTACACATCTTCTATGGAGGACTAGATGATCAATCTAAGCAATGTAGATTTTAAATTCGGAGAAGCCTTTAGGAATATATTGTTGCCCCACGCACTAATTGTGTTGGCCTCATGCGCAACTATTTCATTGGACTCCTTACACAAACCAAAACCATGAACCGTCTCTGAACCCCAACACCACAGAGGTAGTCGTCGGAGAGAGAGGAAAAGTACCTCCTTCATCATCATAGTCGGGAGGGCATCATCGTTGTCAGAGCTTTGTGAGACAAGGTCTGCCGCACGCGCCAACACACATAAACTACCTATATGCTTTTAACAGTTATCATCTCCGTACTTGGCTACCCAACATTTACCGTAGGCACGATAACTGATACACTAGTGGTACGTTCTTCCCGGTCCTCTCGTACTAGGGAAAGGTCATGTTAGTCAGGCGTCGTCCTCGTGCCATCCAGACCTCATAACCAGCGCCGCCCATCGACAAAATCGAGAATGACCAGTCATGCCGTCCTTGCGCCTCTTTCCATGCCTCATGCTAACTATCTTATTCCACGAGCCATCACCACCACCATGAGCAGCAACCATCGGCCATCCGCGAACACAAAACACACTGCTCCTCAACCACGATTATGAAGGCAATACATATGAAGACTCTAAGTTTACGCACCATCTCGACAGATTTGCTTCATAAGCATTTGGAGGCTGTTAATATGATGATTTTGCTAGAGTTGCTCTTAAAAGACAGCGCGAGACGAGGGTGAAGCCAGACGAAAGAGTTGAAGATGGAGAAGCCTGGTATTGCAAAATCGTACTACTATTGGACACCGTAGCAAAAAGGCTATGTGGGCTACCCTGACGCTGTGACCCCACACAGCTTGCTCCGGCCCACCCATCGTCGGCCAGTGACCTGCCGCCCGCCGCCGCCCGCCGGCGGCACCATCCGGCGGGCCATTGCCAATCGCCTTCCTAACCACCAAACCCATTTCCTCCCGCGCACGCGAGCGGCCGCCATGGCCGGGCATCTAGCCAAAAACCCATTTCTCCTCCTCCTCAAACCTCGCCGCCTGTGCACCACCGCCGCATCCTCCTCGGCCGCCGCGGGAGAACTCGCCCCCGCGCCCGTCGTCAAGGAGATACCCCACGATGATGACCTCGCGGAGGAGTCGCGCAGCCGCCTCGTGCGCGACACCTGCAAGCTGCTCGAGCTCCGCGGCTCGTGGACCCCGAAGCTGGAGGCGCAGCTCCGGCACCTGCTCCGGGTGCTCTCCCCGCCGCAGGTCCGCGCCGTGCTCCGCGCCCAGGCGCAGACGGACGCCCGCGCCGCGTTCGAGTTCTTCCGCTGGGCTGACCGCCAGTGGCGCTACCGGCACGCCCCGGAGGTGTTCGACGAAATGCTGAGCCTCCTCAGCCGCACCAGGCTCCACGACCCCGCCCGGCGCGTCATGCGCCTCATGATTCGTCGCCGCATGAGGCGCGGGACGCAGCAGTTCGCGCACCTCATGCTCTCGTACAGCCGTGCGGGGAAGCTCCGCTCTGCCATGCGCGTGCTCCAACTCATGCAGAAGGACGGGTGTGCGCCTGACATATTGATATGCAATGTGGCGGTGAATGCGCTTGTCTTTGCCGGGCGCATTGACAAGGCGCTTGAGTTTAGCGACCGGATGCGACGTGTTGGGGTCGAGCCGGATGTAGTCACATACAATTGCCTTATCAAGGGGTTATGTAGCGTGCGGAGGGTTGTTGAGGCACTAGAGATGATTGATGTGATGCTGCAAAATGGGTGCCCACCTGATAAGATTACCTATTATACAGTGATGGGCTTCTTGTGCAAGGAGAAGAGGGTAGCAGAGGTGCGGGGTTTGCTTGGGAGGATGATGAATGATGCGGGTCTATTTCCAGATCAGGTCACGTATAACATGCTCATCCATGTGCTTGCAAAGTATGGGCATGCAGATGAGGCGTTGGAATTCTTGAGGGAGTCAGAGGGGAAAAGGTTCCGTGTCGATGAGGTTGGATATAGTGCAGTTGTGCACTCTTTCTGCTTGAATGGGAGGATGGCCGAGGCAAAGGGGGTTGTAGGTGAGATGATCTCAAAAGAATGTCACCCTGACGTTGTGACATATAGCGCAGTTGTTGATGGGTTCTGCCGGATCGGGGAAATTGATCAAGCAAGAAAGATGATGAAGCATATGTATAAGAATGGCTGCAAGCCAAACATAGTCACGCATACTGCACTGTTAAATGGTCTCTGCAAAGCTGGGAAAACTTCAGAGGCTTGGGAATTGCTAAACAACAGTGGAGAGGAGTGGTGGACTCCAAGTGATATCACATACAGTGTTGTGATGCATGGGTTTAGAAGAGAAGGGAAACTAAAGGAATCATGTGATGTCGTTGCCCAGATGTTGCAGAAGGGTTTCTTTCCCACTACTGTGGAGATTAACTTACTGATCCATGCGTTATGTAAGGAAGGAAAGCCGGCAGAGGCCAAAGACTTCATGGAGCAGTGCCAAAGCAAAGGTTGTACCATTAATGTTATTAACTTCACTACTGTAATTCATGGATTTTCTCGGCAGGGGGATTTGGAATCAGCGCTGTCTTTGTTGGATGACTTGTATCTCAGTAACAGGCATCCAGATGTTGTAACTTATACTGTTGTTGTCAATGCTTTGGGAAAGAAAGGTCGACTGAAAGAAGCGACAGAGCTTGTGAAGAAAATGCTTAATAGAGGAATTGTCCCTACACTCGTTACATACAGGACAGTGATACATAGATACTGTGAGAAGGGTACAGTGGAAGAATTACTCGATCTGCTGGATAAGATGTTAGCGAGACAAGAGCTTAAGAGTGTATACAATCAGGTCATTGAGAAGCTATGTGCACTAGGTAAAATAAATGAAGCTTACAGTCTCCTCAGCAAGGTACTGAGAACTGCCTCACAGAGAGATGCTCAGACATGCCACATTCTGATGGAGAGTTTTCTTAATAGAGGTCTCGCAGTTCAGTCATACAATGTGGCGTGCCAGATGTTTCAGAGAAATTTAATTCCTGATATTAAATTGTGTCGAAAAGTTGACAATCAGCTGACCTTAGAGAAACAACCAGCTGCTGGGAAGCTTATAATTAAGTTTGTAGAAAGAGGTCTTCTGAAACAAGAAAAGTAAGCTATTGCTGTCTGGCATGTTGATATATCATGCGTTTATTGGCAACTGGCAAGTATGTTTAATATTTGATCTGACATGTTGATGTATCATGTGTTTACATGCTGGAAAGCTTACTCATTTCTTCTACCTAAAACTGACAGATTTATAGTTTTGGGTTCAGTTGGTAACGTTTCATACGTTGTGCTGCTTAGTTAGCTGCCAGCCAATAGACTAGTAGGTATGGCACCTGAATGTTAGTTAGCTGCCACTCAAAGGGCTACTGAACAGTACACATGTTCGTGCATATATCAGCATCACAAAGGCTTGGTCCATAATGAACTAGACCAAGTGAAGTACTTAAGGGGAGGAGACAATGGAGGGAGATGGTGACACTGTGACGGCGCCGTTGCTGGAGTTCATCGATGACCGGTCAGCTGCCTCGGAGGAGCTGCTGCGGCGGGAGCCGGTGCCATTCGACGTGCTGTCGCGGCTGGCATTGTGGGAGGCCGGCAACCTGTGGCGCATCTCATGGGCGTCCATCCTCATCACGCTCTTCAGCTTCACTCTCAGCCTCGTCACACAGATGTTCGTTGGCCACCTTGGTGAGCTGGAGCTTGCCGGGGCCTCCATCACCAACATCGGCATCCAGGGCCTAGCCTATGGCATCATGGTAACTAGCTGCACTCAGTTCTTGCACTATGTAGTATAGTCCTTTGTGCTGCTTAGAAACGACGTCTTCTCACTTGTATGCGGAATGCAGCTCGGCATGTCGACTGCAGTGCAGACGGTGTGCGGCCAGGCCTACGGTGCGAGGAGGTACAGGGCGATGGGCGTTGTTTGCCAGAGAGCGCTCCTCCTCCAGTTTGTGACGGCCGTCGCCATCGCTTTCTTCTACTGGTACTCTGGCCCATTCCTGCGGCTCATTGGGCAGGCTGAGGACGTGGCTGTGGCGGGGCAGCTGTATGCTCGTGGGCTGGTGCCGCAGCTGCTCGCGTTTGCACTCTTCTGCCCGATGCAGAGGTTCCTGCAGGCTCAGAACATCGTCAACCCCGTGGCGTACATGGTGCTTGCTGTGCTTGTCTTCCACATCCTCATCTCGTGGCTCGCTGTCTTCGTTCTCAGCTTTGGCCTTCTCGGCGCGGCTCTGACGCTGAGCTTCTCTTGGTGGGTGCTTGTGGCGTTGACATGGGCGTACATCATCTGGAGCCCGGCTTGTAAGGAGACGTGGACCGGGTTGTCCATGCTCGCTTTCAGAGGCCTCTGGGGATATGCCAAGCTCGCCTTTGCGTCGGCTGTTATGCTAGCGTGAGTAAATTTATCAGCCATTGCTAACTGTTTGGTAGGTCTTGCTTGTTTATGTCTTGCATCATTGTGTTCTTGCTCAGATTGGAGGTCTGGTACGTGCAAGGATTTGTGCTTCTGACTGGCTTCCTCCCCAACTCGGAGATTGCTCTTGATTCACTCTCTATCTGGTAGGCCACACGATGATTCAGCTCATGTTATAGTTACACACCTTGTTGGAAGTTCTAATGTCTAATCCATATTCACATATAACTTGCGTCGCTATCTCTTTTACTTGTTTCAGCATCAACTACTGGAACTGGGACTTCCAAATCATGCTTGGTTTAAGCTATGCGGCCAGGTCAGTGCAAACGACCGATACCTACCAAGATGTAGACCAATTTCCGCTTGCTGATCAAACGTTTGCACACGCAGTATCCGCGTCGGCAACGAGCTTGGCGCTGGCCATCCAAAGGTCGCGAGGTTGTCGGTCCTGGTGGTCGTCACGGCGAGCATCGCCTTCAGCATTCTCGCCACGATCGTCGTCATGGCCCTCAGGTACCCGCTGAGCACCCTCTACACGAGTAGCACGACGGTGATTGAGGCTGTCATTGCACTGATGCCGTTGCTGGCCATCAGCATCTTCTTGAATGGGATCCAGCCAATCCTCTCAGGTACACGCAACACTTGGCAGTAACACAACGTGCCTAGTTTGCACTCAACCAAAGGAACTGAAAATTCGTTCTGAAATATCTGCAGGAGTGGCCGTCGGGAGCGGGTGGCAAGTCATAGTTGCCTATGTCAATGTCGGGGCTTACTACATCATCGGTCTGCCAATCGGATGCGTTCTAGGGTTCAAAACAAGCCTGGGAGCAGCTGTAAGTCAATTAGCTTCCCGCGCTAATTTCATAGTCAGTTAACCTCTATCTTGCAACATTTTGCCGGAGGTCTGATGATCATATGTTTGTGGTAATTCTCAGGGGATCTGGTGGGGCTTGATCATAGGGGTCGCAGTGCAGACGGTGGCACTGATCGTCATCACGGCCAGGACCAACTGGGAGAGCGAGGTGAGCTTGCCCTTTTCACATTCACGCATGATCTCGGCTGAAGCTTCTGCTCAGTTTCTGTTTGTCGCGGTGCTCATGGCGACACGGCTATGTCATGTATGCGTGCAGGTGGAGAAGGCGATCCAGCGGCTGCGGCACACCGCCGCAGACGAGGGTGGCATGGTGGTCGACGGCGACGTCTAATGACCGGGCCCATGGATGTGTCTGGGGCTCTGTTTGGTGGCCATTGTTTGCTTTGCTAGGAGCACTCCCCACGAGGAGGGAAGTAGTAGCTGGTGCCGAACTTTATTATCAAGAGGCCATGGTGCCTTTCGGTTTGTGCAATAAGTTGAAGTGAGATGATGGAAAGTTGAAATGCCTTTCCTTTTTTTTCGAGGATGAACTTGTACTAGTTAAATGGTAATTAGCCTTGGCTGCTGGACTAGAAATGGTTTGATTTCTTGAGCTCTTACGCATTGAATTCATTTTAGAGAAGCTCTTACTATTTGATGACGCCCCCAAATTATTGTGGTCAAGGTGGACCATGCTGGTCAGCGTGAGGTTGCGCCATGGGCCCGTTTGTCAGCCCAGCAAATTATTATGGACACGTACATGATGCCTATTGCTTCTTTGGCCGACTTCAACGGCCTCCCGAGTTAAAAGCTGCCCCCTCCGTTCCGAATTACTTGTCTTGGATTTGTCTAGATACACATCCGTATCTAGACTCATTTTGATGCTAGATACTTCTGTATCTAGACAAATCTAAGACAAGTAATTCGGAACGGAGGGAGTAGGAAGTAATATACTGTAGATCAAAGCCTTCAAGCTTCTCGACCAGTTCAAAAATGCCGTGTGTGTCCTAAAGCTACCAAAAGCTGGTCTTCAAGAATTTCCATTATGTTGCAGAAAATTAAGAAAACGGTTAATTAACTGAACAAAAAATAGCACACCGGACTAGCATGTGTTCTATAGCTTCTGCAAAGAAACCTTAAAATAAGGCGCTTCCCATTCACATTTAACAACCATACAAGAAGAATTGATCAACGAAAGCACAACGTGAGCGGGTGAAGGAAATGAGAAACAACAAACAGAAATGACAATTAGATGTTATGGTTCGTGGTGGTGCCAAATGATGCTAGCACAAACAACATGTTAGCATACAGAGTGTGTGGGCGCGTGTGCATGATCACCGCGCCTGTACGTGGCCTAGGTAGTGTGTGAGTGGGCATTACGGTGGCGTGTCGGCGCAAAGGGTGGCAGAGAGCGATGATGAGATGAAGAGAGTGGTAGAGGGCGCTGCAATTTATAGGCGCGCGAGCTGCCGTCTTTTCCCGCGCGCGCAATCGTTTCCCGTCATTGCTGGAGCGCACAAAAACATTCCGCACACGCTAAAAAGTCAATTTACCGCGCGCATTTTTTGACGCGGCCGTGGGAGTTATAGCTGGCCAAACGGGCCGGCCCGGCACGGCACGGCCCGGCCCGTGCTAAACGTGCCTGGCACGGCCCGGCCCGTGACGGCACGAATACTAGCCGGGCCGTGCCGTGCCGGCCCACGGGCGGGGGGGCGCAGCCCAGGCACGGCACGCGGCATAGCTGGGCCGGCACGCGGCCCGCCCAGGCACGCCGGCCCGCTTGGCGCTAGCTGGCCCGCCTGGCCTGGCGCTCGCAGTCGCCGCTCGCTACGGGCTGCGCGCTGGCATGCTGCATCGCTGCAGTCGCCTGGCACGCTGCATCGCTGCAATTTTCCCTCGCTGCCACACAGTTACACACTGCACGCTGCACTATACTACCAAATACTAGTCTAAGCGAGATGCGAAAAAATGTCGAAAAAATACCCAAAAAAATATAGAAAATTGCAAAAAAATGTAGAGTATTATGTGGGATAAATCTAGAGTTTTATTAACGCTTGCCTCATTAAAACCTTCCATCCCAAAGAAGTAAAAGAGTACAAGCTATGCTCTAGAAGTACTAAAAGATTAAAAGAAGTAGAAATAAAAAGATTACAAGACTAGAATTGAACTAAAAAAATTACAAGACTGGAACTAAACTAATTTGGATCGTTCATCCTTGCCCGGCAGCCGCGGCCAGCTCGTCTCTCTTGATGTGTACTGCTCTGTGCCTAGTAAGGATGTTTACTGGACCGTGGCAGGCAATGCGCATCAACTTACCACATCTTTTGCACCGTGCATTTAGCTCAGATTTTCTACCGTCCGTAACTACTTCAGCATCGTAGTAGTCCCAGATTTTGGAGCCTCTCCCATCCATGTTTGTATTGTGTGTGTAAAATGAGATGCAGTTTGAGACTTTTGAGTGTGAGAAATGAGAACTTGAGAAGGGCCGGCATCCCTTTTTATAGAAAGAAGATGTCACGTTAGGCACGCTAGGCATGTTAGGCACGTTAGACGGTTAGAGTATTATGTGGGATAAATCTAGAGTTTTATTAGCGCCGGCCTCATTAAAACCTTCCATCCCAAAGAAGTAAAAGAGTACAAGCCATGCTCTAGAAATACTAAAAGATTAAAAGATAGAGAAAGAAAAAATAATACAAATACTACAACGGACTAATGGGATCCTTTCAACCTTGCCCCGCAGCCGCAGCTATAGCCGCCGCCTCGGCTGCTTTGACGTGCGTCGTCTTGTGCCTCATCAGGTGGCCGGTTCCAGCATACCTGCCATCATCTAGGTGCACACTCAACTTCTTACCGCATTCTTTGCACTTTGCAAAAAGCTTGGTCAGACCTTCGTCATTTGTAACGGATTCTTCATCATAGTACCTCCAGATGGGACTAGGTTGTCTCCGAACAATGTTTTGAAGAGGAGCAGCCATGTTTGTGTATGGAAAATGAGATGGAGTTTGAGTGTGAGAGATGAGAAAGTGGGCATCCCTTTTTATAGGAAAAAAATGTAACGTTAGGCACGTTAGGCACGGCAGCAATATCCATTGCACTCGTGTTTGCTGAAGCATTATCCAAAGTTATTGAGAAAACCTTGTCGGCAAGATTAAAATCGTTCACAACTTTTAGTATAGCTTCAGCAATGTTCGGACCACTATGTGCTACATCAATTAATTCAAATCCTATGACTCTTTTTTGTAGATGCCAATGTTCGTTAACATAATGAGTTACCACACTAATGTAGTCTTGGTCAGACCTTCGTCATTTGTAAGCTTGGTCAGACCTTCGTCATTTGTAACGTTAGAGTGTGATGATCGGTATAGGCAGGTTGCTCGGGTGGGGGCATGGTATAGGCATGTTGCTCGGGTGGGGGCATGGTAGTGTGATCGGTGCTACTAGGGTAGAGACTATACTCCATATCCCCAAGACCGAAATCGGAGAGTGGGAAGCTAGTATTGTCATGGTCATCCATGTTTGAGTGTGAGAAATATGTGGGCTGGGCAGCCCTATTTATAGCAAAAAATTGGTCATTTTTCGGACAAATTTGACCCTCTAACGATCAAATTTTCAAATATATGAATTTTCTTACACAAATATCCAAACCATATCCTAAACCACTCTAAACCAACCCTAACCTCCCTCTAAACCCCTCCCAACGGCCGAGCGAACCCCCCCCCCCCGCTCCCCCATCAATCG